TGACCACCCATAAAGTACCCCCCAGATGTCCCTACTCTGCCAAAAATCTAATCAGTTCACTGTAGGCCGGAATAAAGCTTAAGTTTAAAATTCGTCGAAAACTCGAGGTCGAAAAAAATCATGATTCCTATACTTTCCTTATCTGTATACAGATAGGAAAGTAAAAATTTAAAACAGTTATCTATCGAATTCGCATTTTATACAATTTTTTGTTAATAATGTTCGAGATGATTGCCTACGACACTTTTTCCAATACTAATATTAAACAAAACCATATGAATCCAACTTTATGGTACACATTGTATACATTGCTTTTTACTTTTTTCAATTGATTTAACGGGTTCACTTGGCAGTATCGCTCACGCTGAATTTAGCCAAATATTTGATATATCACGAACATGCCATCCACACATGGACTAAACCAACAAAAATCCCAATCATGCCAATTATGTTTTTTTATTCACAAAACCTAATGAGCGATTTTGTAACTTGTACGTACAATAAAAATAGCTGGAAAAACTGAAATGAAAGTAAACAAAAGTACAAAAAAATGTATATATTATATATAAATATTAAAACAAAAGAAAATAATTGATCAGATGATATCAGAGAATATAGTTAAAAAAAATCTGATGTGTCCACACATGACTTTTCTGTCTAGTTATTACAGGCTTTTTCCGGTGTAAATGTTTAGAGAATGAACTAAATATATATATTTTCTACATACATCTTACTCGAAACTTTTTTTTATACATATTCATTGCCAACGAAAATACTGAAAAAATAAAAATTTACACTTTTTCTTAAATTTTTCCATTACGGTTCATTTAAGAAAAATCATGCATAAAACAAAAGATTTAGAAATCGAATACAGACTATTTTAAGAAAATTATCTTTATGACAAAAATAATAGAAAACAAGAATTAGAAATTAAAAATTTAAAAAACCGACCTTAAAAACGTGCAGATGCCGTCACCACATCTTAACCAAATTAATATGGGACCACCCCTGAGGTATCCCCTTACTAACAAAAAAAGAATCATATAAATCGGACAAGGTAAAGCATTATCGCTAAACATACATAAAAAATGAAGAGTTTGAGGATTTTCTCACGAATTCAATTATTATATTTTGACCAAATTTATATGGGACCACCTCTGAAGTACCTCCTTTCTAACAAAAAAAGAATTATTGAAATCGGACACCGTGTTGAAGAATTATCGCTGAACATACATAAAAAAAATATCGCGACGAATTGAGAACCTCCTCCTTTTTTGAAGTCGGTTAATAACATTATAAGCAACGTTTTTTTAAAGAATTTTCTTCTCCAAGCTTAAATAACAGATTTATTCTATAAGAAAAACGACCTTCTTTAAAGTACCACCCAGATTTTCTGACTATGCCCAAAATTTAAATATTCTACCGCAGGATGGATTAAAGCCTAAATTTAAAATTTGTTATTTTTCGCTTTATTCGTTTTTGAGTTTTTTTCAAAATTAGAAATTGTTCTTTTTTTCAAATATCTCAACTACAGTTAATTTTACAGAAATTATGTATAAAATAAGAATTATAGATAATAATATCACAAACAATTGACCCTAAAGCTGAATTTTCTCCTTTGAATCTACCTAGAGATTTGCTGGATAAAGTGGAAAATGAAGATGACTTGCGTATGTTAGAAGAAGAACATATGGAAAATGCAAACCTACAAGAAAAATCACAGTTTGATGAAATAAAAGAACCACATGGCATTGGGGAATCGGTTGATGGTCACAATGATGTTGTCGAGGATGTTGTTCACTCGATTGCTTAGCATCAAGAAGAAATAAAAACATTGGTGATTACCAATGAAAACACAGAATAAATATTTAGTCAGGAAGAAGTTACGTTATGCATTGCATGTCCTAAAGATGGAGGTAAATGTATTGTATGTTAAAATACAGCAAAAATTGAAGACAACAGACATGATGCGAGCTGGGACCAAAAGCGAGCAGCAGAAAAAATGCTGGAAAATACTGCAAAAAAACTTCTACCAATAAATATAGATTCATGCGTCCTTTTATCTATTGATAAAATTGATGAAGGTCCTTCTGACATGCAAAATTAGATGTGTGTTGTAACAGATTACAAAAATGGGGTCTATCAAGTCGGATGTGTAGCTGGTCGAATCAAATCATGGTTCAATAGACCTGATTTAATGATATTCAAAGAGGCATTTCTTTAAGTAGATGAGGTCCCTAAAAAGTTTCTATCAATACAAGAAGCTGTGCAGTCGCTGTCACTTTGTGTTCATGTAAAGCCAGAAAAAAACAATGTTTGTCAAACAGCTTTTGTTGTTGAAATAATTTTTGTGTGTTTATTTTTGCATATTATTTTTTGCATGAAGCAGTTTCTGATACCAAACTCGCATTTTTGTACATGTTTCTTTCTAGAGGTAAGTAATTTCAAATTTATTAAGAAAACCACTGTATAATGTATGTGTTTAATAATATATTACAAATTGGCTATAATTATTTTAGGTGAATTGGAACAGAGATCCATTGTTACAGCTATTTTTGTTCATTAAGTAGGTAGATGAATGTCTCGACAGCTTTAATGATATCACAAAGTTCCCACTTACTAGAAAAGAAGTAAAATGTATACTGAGTAAAAAATCTCTGCACATGTAGTATTGACAAAGGACTTTTGAAATGATTAGAGATTGGCTATTTCTTACATACACCCACCTCTAATAGCCACTCTAGTGGCTATTAGAAGATTGTAGAGTCATTTAAACTAAGAACAAAAATTGAATCACAAAAGGGCAGAATTTTAAAAGCATTGGAAAATAAATTTGGGGACATCAGGTCAGTTTTGGATTTTAGAGAGAGATCAATCTCAAGAAAAGTTAATTTATCCTGCAGAACAACCAGTAGTTTGAGTAGGATCTGCTATAACTTTATTAGAAGATTTCCTTGATAATAAATTATAATATACCAATTTTTTTAAATGAAATTGAAAAACAGTTAAATTCGACATTAGATTTTTCAAGGGTAAATTGTTATATTCATTTAAACATCGTAATGTAATCTAAATTTAAGGGAATATGGAATATAGGTATACCCTGGTGGTGTAAGAGACAGGTAAGGGACAACAACAAAAAATTAGAGAAATGTATTTGTCTTTAAATAGTGTTTATTATTAATATTATTATTTGCTATGTTTGAAAAGTACCTCCTGCTGCAGAACAGATCGAATAGATTAGATGACGTTCCTAGTCACCAAATTAGAAGACTAGAAAAACTTTTACATGACTGGGGACACAACAGGATTGCACACGCACAAGATACACAAACAGACGACATAAGAGGGGTAAGCCTTCAGCAACGTCCTGTTTAAATGATGATAGTATGTCATCCTTCATTCCCTTTTAGAAGGCATGGCATATAAATCTATTGATCTTGATGACCCTAAGAGGAGGGGTGGACGGAATGAGTCTAGCAGGTTTAGATCCAGTTTACTGGATGGGAACTTACTCGACTCGGGCCTTATACATTTGTGTGATTGTATGTGTGTGTATTTGTTTCGTTTACATAGTTTCTATTAAAATAAAGAGTCATACCTTTTTGCCAGACTAACGTAAGCGACATTTGTTCAAATGGCACTTATGATAGTCTGGCAAAAAGGTATCGATATACTCTATACTTTATAAAATATTTGTTACATTATTTTTTAAATATATTATGAATATATAACAACTGTGACTTTCTTTGTAATTTGTCACAAAGTGATACGAGGTACTTTCTAAACGTAGCAATTGTAGTTTGTTTTTCTGTACCTTACAAAAATATAATTTATAGAAAGAGTTTGGTGTATTATTTTTCCAAGTTTAAATATTTAATAGTCAATAGAATTTTTAAGTTTTTTTAGCGAAATTTACAAGAGTAATAAAAACTATGTTTACGGCTTATATTGCGCCGCAGCAAATAATAATAATAGGCGTCCCTTTCCCCAGACAAACTCAGCTTTTGGGGTTAAAATTCACTCGTAAGGAGGTGAATTAGGGAGAGTTTTATTATTATTATTAAACTAATTAAAACTTCCTATATTAAAATGATTATTATATGTTAAATATATGTTTAATATACAGTGAAACAATAATTTTTGTTTCTCCTGTAAATTTGTATAAAAAACTATTTATTTCTGAATCCATGTTTGAATTTCCCGCCCTAAAACATTTTTAAATTTTCCCGCTATTTACTAGTGGCGCCATCATAGACTGGTTGTGGTTACAATCGCCCAAACAACTTTTACCGAACAAAAAAAAAATATATTGAGTTACACGTCTCGCTGGACTGTCTTTGATATAAAACAAAATGTTATGTCAAGTGAAGCGCCGTTTTTAGGTATATGAATCTAATAAAAACATCCAAAATACACGTTTAATATGTCGTTTGTCTTTTTATCTTTTACAGGAATAGATCCCATTGATAGATATTTCGTTAAATAAAAAAAGACTAAATTTAATCATCAGCAGAGATAATACAAAATGCAACCACAAATCTATTGACATTAGATATCTGATATATTTAATTTGTTTTGAATAATAGAAAAAAGATTTAATTCTAGTAAATCCAGTATCTCGAGATATATTTGTTAATCTATAAATCTAATGATTTAGATTTCGGAATAATAAGGTCCACATTTTTATTTTTTATATAATACGCATTTTAGATATAATTTTTTAAAGAAACAATTGAAAATAATAGATTCTAGACATTTTATTTATCAACTGAGAAAAGCAGAAGAACTAAATAGAACGAGCAAAAAAAAAACAAACAGAGCAGGAGGGCACCGGTGCAGAAGAGGCCATATATTTTTTTTAATTCCTTTTATGTATTGTTATGAATTTCAATTAATTTTGAACCCGCCCCATGCTGAGATTTTTTCATTGATTGGAATTTTATATACTGGGTGATTTCATATTATTATATTTTTAAATGAAACAGGTATATACTCACCAAAGCCACTTCCACAAATATTAAACCAACCAAAACACCAACGAAACTATATGTACTACACATTCTAAGCACATTTATTTAAAAAAAATCCCTACTGTATTAAGTATAGGTAATCTCACAACTCTCAAGTAACCTTCCAAACCTTATCTCGACAAACAACAATTAGTATTATTAAACATCACTCCGCGAAATCTTATCATCACACAGTGTATTTTTTTTCTAAGTCCACACCGATCGAGATACAATTTAAGATAAAAAATATTCGGCAATGTAAAACAGCAATTTATACTCCTGAAGTACGGGCATCTACCTACTGCAAAAAGTGTAAACAAGATTTTTACGACAGTTGGGAAATTTGAAAATTCGGGCCTATTTTTAGCCCCCGTCCAGGACCGGGTGAGGAACAGTCATCAAACCTGTCAAAGGCGATTTAAATATAAAAAACCACAAAGTTGCAGAGCAAGCGACTGTTAAAACATCCAAGTATTCTTGAACAAAAAAGGCGCACCACAAATATGATTTCAAACCATATATAATAATAATAACAATAATATAATTTCTAGTTGCAGATATACAAAAAGGAAATTAATAATATTATATCTAATCTAGTTATTTATATACTGCGGTAGTTGATTCAAATTGTTATTAATTAACTTTTATATTAAATTAACTATATATTATTAAAGATCCATACTGAAATAATCTCAAGTAGAGAAACGGGGGAATAGGAGCCAATGGCTTATCCGCAAGAATTAAAATTATACGTAATCCATTTAAAATTAATTTTATTTAGGCACTAAAAATATTCTAGAAACTTGGAACGGTTTGGAATACATATTATATTGGAAAAAAGTTTGAGTCACTTTTAAAACGATTTTTTAAAATTTCTAAAAATTTATATTTTTCACAATAACTTACAAACTAAAGAAGATACGCAAAACTACAAGAGTTAAAAAGTTTAATTTAAAAAATATTTGATTCTTCTAATTTCTGCAGGCTAAAAATTACTTGAGATATCACCCAAAAACAAAGCACGCCATACTTTGTAGGCTTCCGAACGCCTCTGCCACCAAAATGTTTCCCAATTTTTAAACGAGTCAGATTTTTGGGAAATCTGCCAATACTAATTGTACAAAAATGTTATTAATAAAAAAAAAATTATTCGGCCAGTTATCCAATCCAAAGCAAATTATATGTTTCATTGATTTATTCCATGATTTTTTGAATGTATCAAAATCCCACAAGGTTTCATCCTACTATCTGGAGGTGCGAATTTCGAAGTTTAACTTTTTATAATAAGTTAAATTAAGTATGGAAAATTTGTTTTGTTAAAATTAAAAATATCCTTGTCTTTTGGACTTTTATAAAAAAGGGAAATACTAACATAGTTGGTGAACGCGCGCTCTTTTTCCATCTACACCAGAGGTTCCCAAACTCTTTTGTTTCATAGACCACTTTCAAAATTTTGCTGGATCCGGTAGCTACATCACTACCAATTTCTAAATCTCGAAAAAAAAAGTGAAGATTAGATCTATCTATGGAAACTTGCGTTGTGGCAGAGTTTTAACGACGAATTAACAGTTTTCGAAAAAAAAAAGTTAAAATGGATTGCTTGATAGGGTTAATTATTTGATAATAAAGTCGACTAAACAAATTTTCAATTAAATTTTAATTAATTGTGCTGACTCACAGCACAAGAACCAATCAATTCTCACAAATTTTATTTAGAAAACGATCCATTCGGAGTGGTAAAAAAAATTTAGTATATTTCCTTGTGTTGTAGGTATTTATTTAAATTTAAATATATAAATTATTACACTATTAATTATTATTGTTATAACCGTCGTAATATAATTAAAATTAAACACTTATTACGTAATGTAATTTCTACAATGGTAATTACAAAAAAAATATTATTTTAATGAGAGGGATGTACTTGATGAATTGACAGCAAATTATCAATATTTGGCTTGAGTTTTGTGAGGAATAACCGTAAATCTTCCCTTTCTGTGATATTCAATCTGCTCCTTTTTTTGTTAATAAGTTTGTAACGGCACTAAAAGTTTGATATGAGATATGACGAGATAAACGCTATCAGAAGCTTTTGCACAATTCCCCACCGTCCAGGATATTTTTCGGGTATTTCTGCCTACAGCCAAAACTTTTGATACCCTCTTTTAAATGTCACTTTCAGCTCGAGTAGCTTCTCTTGTAATATCACATTCTTCACTTCCCTTTCATTAAATGGATTTATGATCCATGGTGGTATTTCCATCGACAGAATATCTTCAAATCTGAATTTAAAATCATCATGCAGGGCAATCAAATGTTGAACGTATATCTGAATATCTTCTACAAAGCATTCTACCTGCGACAAGTTTGAAAACTGTGAAAATTCGTGCCGACCAATATTTTCCTTCATAAATTTTCATTTACCAAGAAAAGCTGAAATTACACCTTTGTTTTTATTAAATTGAGGCTGTCCCCTTGTAATTGTAAGTTGAGGTCATTACATTTTTTGAACAAATCTGTCAAATATGCGATGCCTGCTTTAAAATTGATCAAGTTTTTTTAAATCAGGATCTTTACTCTTTACTTTCCAAAAACTCTAAAACTGAGTCAAAAAGTAAATAAAATCTTGATAAACATGCACCTTTCGACAACTAGCGTACTTCGGTATGTAACAGCAATCGTTGGAAGTCTTCATCATTTTGTGCAAAAAAAACGCGTATTCAATGCGTTGCTTCTTATTTTGTTAACTGCATTAATCACAAATTGAAGCGATTGGTGCAATCTATCACTCAAATTTTTCGCTACTAGATGTTGTCGGTGGATAAAACAGTGAATCGCATCACCAGCGAGGGGATCGTGCATAGATAAATTAATAAAACAAGATGAATTTTTTAAATACACGCCACTGTCAACACGTGGTAGTTCCCAGCATAATATTAGTTAGCGCCACCGTCGCAATAGTATGAAAGCGATGTTGCCGGTTTCCGTAAACTTTCATGAGATGAGAGTTATTTCAAATTCATCTTACTTTAATTTTTTATCAATCTACATGCGCACCATAGCATCCATACAATGTCCGTACTATTGCTGGGATTTTTAAAAGGAGTTGACAACCTCGTAAAAAATGAAAAACCGTGATGGCGGAAGGCCAAATATGATAATGAAATGTTAAAACCTATTTTATGAATTATGATGAAAGTTCTAAAGATCGGCAAGTTATTTTTAAGAAGATAAACAGTGTTGATTTGATGTAATTTGTAAGTATTAGCAATTTAATTTAATATTAAAGGTGTGTAGATTTATTTAAGGACTTTGTTTATCTTTGTTTTCTTAACCTTATATAATTTCATATTTCATAGATTTTCAATTCTGTTTTTATATTTGAAACAAGAAATGTCTGGCCCGGGTACCGGGTATAGTCAAGTATTTTCGAGAGTATTCTTGTTCAGCCCCTAATTGTTTAAAGAAGTATTATTTTAAAATTCAGAAAGTTGGATTATCAAATATTAAACCTTTTTCATTTTCCTTCCCATATTAAAATTTGCCAGAACTGGTTTGAGACTTTAAATTTAACTTTAGATAATAATACTCGCTATATTTGTGCGGACCATTTTTGCCTGAGTCTTTTAGTAGGGTTTCATCAAAACGTAAACTGTTAGCTGGACATTCTGTACCAATTTCATTAGATAATTGTGCATCCAGTATCCAGTTCCAATATACAACCTGAGAATTAGATTTTAGAATAAGTTGAGGCCGAAGCACAAATATAGCAGCATAAGAAAAACAAGAAATTAGTTGCAAACTTAATAATTAGTGATGAACAATTTGAACGACCCTTGAAACGAAGAAAAACAATAAATAAATAAAAGTAGTCGGAAATTTAAGTCCTAAAGAGAAAAGTTGTATTTTATTAATATTTGATAAGAGAAATTGTTCAGTAAGACATATGTACACTTTTTGTTTTGTTTTTATGGGAAACACGGGACACCCAACAAAATATGGTCCATTTTTCCAAGAATTGGGGAGACTACCTACTATTCATTTTACTTACAATTGTTATTTACTATTGAGCTCATGTATGTATGTATTACTGTATAATAAATAATTAAAATATATGTTTCAAATATTTTATTTTAATGTAAATATTTTTTGTTTATATTTTTTGGGGTTTTATTACGAAATAAAACTAATATTTATGTTAAATGCATTATTTTGATGTAAATATTAGTTTTTTTTAGAGTAATGAATGCCAAAAAAATGTAAATAAATAATAAATTATATTTGAATGAACCGCGGTTCGCTTAAAGCTCTTCTTTTTTTATTCTTCTCTTTCTTATTCGACCTCTAACTGGCAAGCCAATCAGCCAGTGTAGTTCCAAAAAAATCCGTTCCATACTAATTCGCAGCACTGTTTGTTTCCAAAAATTAACACGGGATCCGACTATCTTCTTTATTAATTTATCTATGGGATCGTGACAAGCCTCCAGTCTTCTCATAGCTATTTCGGCTGTCCCATGGGTATATCATGGGTCATAATGGTATACAGGTGGGGCGATAGTACCGAACCTTGAGGTACACCCGCTCTGGCAGTGTATGGTCTTGTAATGGTGTCATTTATTTTAATGTGGAAAGTTCTGTTATGTAGGTAGCTTAGAATTGTTTTCACAATATAAACAGGGTGGGCAATCGTCTGCCTTTGATGGAAGAAAACCAAATTTTAAATATTCAACACTGTACTGACGATATTTATTCTTAGATTCGGCTATGTTTTATATTAATTACCTACCTGTAAATGTGTAAGTAAATAAATAAAAAGAACTTTGTTTTAGTAATCTTAAGGCGATTCGAACTTAACAGGATATGGCTATTTTAACATAATACTTATGATTAATCAATTATTATAAATATTATGAAATAAACAAAGTTCCGGCTGTTTCCAATTATTAAAAGCAATAAATCGCTAAAATCCATAATAGAGTTTTATGAAAACGGCTGAACTTATTTTAATGTGATATAAAATTATTATTTCATTTATTATATTTTATTAAATTAAATGAATTAGATAGATAATAAAAATAAAGTAGGGACGATAAGTTCAATCTTTCTCGGCTTAAAACTATATGCATATAACAAATAGGCAGGTAGGTACTTACTTTTCCGACACTGGCAATCACTAATATCGATTCACTTTACTTTTCGTTTCGAAAATCTGGAAACAAATTCAGTCACTGGCCAACACTAATATCGATTCACTTTTCTTTACGAAATTCCAGGAACAAATGAGTAACGATTATCCTTGACATTCGTATTTATATTGGTCAAGAATCAAACACGTTCATGCGAGATTGCAAGCACATACACCACAAGTCGTATTAATTTGTACGTCTGAACAAGCGTTGCGGACGGGACGGCGGCCGGCGCGGCAACGACAAGTCTCGACGCGTTGTACTGAATATAGAATATGCAAGTTTTTACAAGTAACAGTCGCTGAGCTTCTTAAAATATTATCTGCCTATATTGATAAGAGAAGTCAAGTCAACATTTTAGTAACTAAAATGTTGACTGTTTATATTA